CCGGCTGGGGCAGGAGAACGGCCCCACTCGCTGCCCCGTTGTCCTGGGCAGGAGGCAGCAGCTACTCCAAGAGAGTGATGGGGCAGCAAGCGGGGCCATTGTCCCCACCCGCGCTGTATCCGACCCTGCAGCTCCCAGGGACAAAGTCCCCGGGAGCTGCAAGGTCGGAGAAAGCGGAGTGTCGGATTACCGGGAGTCGGATAATCCGGACTCCACTGTAATACCAGGAATTACTCACAAGAGCAAGAGCTGGTTTAAGTAAAGGCTCTACAATCTGACCCTTAATTTGTAGGCAGACAATGCTATTAAAAACAAAAACCAAAACTGAATACTGATTTCGAACGAGATTTTCAAATTACACAATAAAGAGGAGACCTTTTAGCTGTCATATACAGTTAAAATGGCTCCCTGACTTTACTGTAATGCATAGCTGCACAATGAGGTTTTCTAGAACTTTCCTCTAACAAATTCTTCTAGAAATGTTCAGTTTAACAGGGAGGGACTGAAATAAACTGCTTCCGAACTCGGATATTTACCTGACCTATTGGACCTTTTCAGGAAGGAAACTAATTCCTCCAAGAAAAACACGTGACAACAGATTAATAGTCCCACTATGTGCACAGTAATCATTCAACAAGAAAATTCCTGTCTCTGACTACAAGATGAACTGGAGTTCTTATCAGTCTGAGAATATCTGGAAAAGTGTGCAAAGTAGGCATACCTCTATGTTCCTTTTCCCTTTTGCTAGTGACACTTTTATTACAAACTATACACATCAGTAATTTAGAAAATAAATACTCCTACAAATGTGTCTGTAATTTCTGATAATGTACTTTGTAACCGGATATACTCAGTAGTGCTTACAAGCTAAATTAACACATCCACTTTTTTTCTTTTTAAAGAGGCAATGTCACTGGAGGCAATAAATGGGCAGTTTAATTTGCAAATTTGTTCACAATGGACTTTGGTTTTGTGCCCATTGACTAAATGGCACAGTTTAAAGCCCCATTGACTTCAATGGGGCAGAATTAACCTCAACAGGATCCTAACAACACTGCTCTGAGCGGGGATTTGTTTGTGTGTTTTTCTAAAGAGCAGTGGTGATTTATTTGACAACGTAAATTGCATTGATTCAACAGGGAATGTGCAAACCAATTTGGATGAAGCAAGAAACATTTTCAAACTGCTCAAAATTCAAAGCAAACTCGAAACTTTTCAAGGTTCAAAAAAGCATAATTAACTTTATTTCTCTCAAGCCCTCTGCCCCCGAAACTGGAAGCACTACTTTTTCTGTATATACTGATCTAAAAGGCAACAGTACACCACAGACATAGCACTTTAATATCTGCAGAAAATAACAGATTTATTGTTTTTTCAGCAAGGATTGGAAGCACTGAAGTAAATAAAAATAGTTCTTTGCATAATATTTCTTACCCAGCCAGAAACAGAAATCTCATGACATCCTGTTTGCATGAGACTTTTAGTCCAGTTTTTAGACGCGATGTTTGAGAAAGCATCTGAACATCTGGAGTGCTGCTCCACCATTCCCCCCTGCAAAAAAAGGGGCTAATTCAGTGAGTTGGGTGGCAATTAAAAAAAACGGTGGCTAGGCATTAGGAAGGTGGCTGTTGCTATTACTGTTCTTTTCACTAAGGTCACATAGCCCCATGAGCTACAAAAGAAGCATCAGAAGAAGGTCAGCGAGGAAGCAGCACATTGAGTACAGACAGATTTGTACTCAATTTACTGGTTTAGTAAAACAGTAGGGACATTCTGCCTTCATTTAAACATGTGCAATAAAACGCATCATTGTAAGTGTTGACTAATTTGACCAGGAATTGACACCAGAATTTTTAGCTTGTGGGGGCAAGTATTATTCTTTGGGGTGGGGTGGGAAAAGCAAGAGGGGCAACTAACAGAATGCAGGCATTATATCCTGCTGCAGATAACTTTTTCTAACCTGTACATTTAATTATAACCTTCAACTGTAGCTTTTGGCACTCAGCCTTTGACCCTACCAACTCAAATCCTGTTCCCTTCAGATGAGGAAAGCCCAAAACACAGTGGAACTGCTGTGATTTTGTGGTGGCCATTACCTGTGGCTGGCAGTTGGAAGCAGTGAGCTTCTAAAGTTTTGAAATCTAGAAGCCTCTGTTAATTGGCTAAGCCTTAGTCAGGGGGCAGGGCTATCAGGAAGGCCACGGCTTATAAAGCAGCGAGTAAGCAACCATGGAGCTTTGTGAACAGGAACAGCAAACAAGGAGTTTTGAGAAGCAGTGGGGAAGGGGAGCAGGAAGGGGCAGCGGAGGAAGCGGGGGAGGGGAAGCGGGGCTGGCCCAAGCACATGCAGATCCCAGGGTTCTGCCTGTCCCACACATGGTCCCAGGCCAGGAGCACAGGCAAGTCCGGCCCCGGGGATTCCATCCTGCCTCGGCCCCACCCCTCTCCTCTCTACTGCGTAGTTGTGTACTGCCTGGCTGGTAGACACACTCACGCAGTGTGAGCGTGTCTACTAGCTAGGCAGTATGCAACTACGTACTGATACTCATGATAATAATAAAACTTACTTTATTAGAAAATATGGGACTGTCCGGTCAAAACCGGACACCTGGCAACCCTAATTACAATGGCCCACAAGGCACCAATGTACCAGGGAGACAGGAAGCTTGGGAAGGGCAAGGAAACGGCCTTTCATTCTGTGATAACATATTCCTCTGCAGTAAAAGTGCAATGGCTGTGGAAAGTGTATGCCCTTGATGGTAGCAAATGCTGAAAACTTTCTACCTCTTCCCAACTTCATATTCACACACTTTTGCACCCATTTCTCTTCTATTTGACAGAATCTATTTGGATTGCATACATAGAAAAAACACGGAGAAGATCTGTTTTTATTTTTGGTTAAGTTGTATATTGATTTTGCTTATGGATGCACCAGCAATATATTCTTTTAATAATTTCCTCCTCTCTATCAGTCTCTCTGTGTGCAGGGGAGGGAGAGTTATTTTGATGGAGAATATAATATTTTAACAAATATTTAAATGGTCTGTTATCCAACCCTTCATCCCCTGTGCGTACACTCAAACAGATACACATACTTTTCACATGTTAATAGATTATGTATACCCACTAGGCTACACCTATGGGGGAAAAGTCAATGTGATAAGAATTTTATTCTTCCCTTTTATCTGTTTTAGTAAGTCAATAAGAGGCAAAGAAAGCACAAAGTGTCACTGACTGGAATCTAACAAATGTAGCAAATGACTTCTCCTAAATAAAATACATTTGTGGCAAACAGCTGCCTCTCTGTAATCAGTCTTAAGTCTGAGCCTATAATTTAGGCTCCTTTAAATAAAAGAGTATAGTTATACAGCCTCATGTTTCAAGAAAACAAAGCATGAATCAAACAGGACACATGGATCATTTTCAATGAAAAGCTTGCCACAGTGCATGCATAGACAACAAATGCTAGACAGTGCTAGCTCTAGACCAAATGGCATCCCAGGCAAGGAGCGTTTTTGGCACCCTCCCCCGTTCCATCTGTTAAACTTCTGAGTAACTTTCTGGCCCACGAAAGCTCATCATCTAATAAACCATCTTGTTAGTCTTTAAAGTGCTACATAGTCCTGTATTTTGTTTCACCCCAAGTGTGGTGTCAGCTAAGCCAAACATGCTGTCAGTTGCCTGGTCACCTCCCCCTAAATTCGGTCCTAAGTCACCAATTATACTGTCTTTTACCTGACAACTGGGTTCTTTTCAACAATGGAACTCTTCTATTCTGGTGTCTCTTTTCTCATCACTTTCATGGAAAGATTACCTCTCCTTCGTCATCATCTCCCTCAGCCCCAGCATTCTAAGCCTGTCATGAGTGTGCTAAAGATTAAAATATCATACTCCATCCAAAAATGTTTGTGTTTGTTTACAACAAGACAAGTTAGAGTTTATCTTTTAACACAGAATTAAAACATCAATATTTTAAAACAAATTCCAAAAGCGTGAGACATGGAATTGTGCAATATAGTACAGGCAATTATAGGAAGTAATACAAAAAGGGGAGGTGCAGCTTGTGATTTTAGACACAATCCCAAACAAGAAGTGGTAGCATCAATAGCACCATTCTAGGACAAGTCCCAGGCACTTCTGAGTCACTATTCCTCCCTTGCAACCTCTTCTATTAAGAGGAAATTACTTCTTCCACCTCTCTGGCTCAGCTAAACAAATAAGCAATTATCTACAAATTCTGAAAATTATTCAGAGCTGTTATTTTGATGGCTGAAATGAGAGATTTTGGACTGTCACTGGGTGGCTCCCTCCCCTCAACTCCTGTGCATCCAGACACCCACCGCACACCCAGATTCCCCTTCTGAGTTCCATTCCCTGAATTCAGATCCCCCCATCTACCACTGAATTCCCAAAAAGCCACACTCACTCTGCACCTGAACCACTCCACCAAGCCCCCCCCCCATGCCTAGAACCTCACCCTACCAAGCCCCATTCCCACTAGCTTCCAAATCTCCTTTCTAAGCCCTATCCCTCCAAACCGCCCCCCCATCAAGTCCATACACAGGTTCCCCATGCTGACTTCCAACCACCTTCCCCTGAATTCCCACCATGAGTCACATTGCCCCTGCATCCAGACCACCCTGAACCACTCCACCAAGCCCCCCCCCCATGCCTAGAACCTCACCCTACCAAGCCCCATTCCCACTAGCTTCCAAATCTCCTTTCTAAGCCCTATCCCTCCAAACCGCCCCCCCATCAAGTCCATACACAGGTTCCCCATAATCCTCTGTGAACCTCCCTCCTCATCTAGACCTGAGCCAAGCCACCTGCACCCTGATGTCCTCACAAAGAACCTTCTCACCACACATGGATTCCCCACACTTGGGATGCTGCCAGGCTGAAACTGCCTGCCCCCTCTGGATCTGGGACCATGGCTGGGTGTGAAGGAGAGTGTTCCTTTTGCTTGGTATTGTGATGTGCTCAACACAGACATGGCTCTGGGGTGTTTTTGAGGGAGGCCCTGCTCTTGTACGGTGTCAGGGTTGGATGCAGCCTTCTCACCACACATGGATTCCCCACACTTGGGATGCTGCCAGGCTGAAACTGCCTGCCCCCTCTGGATCTGGGACCATGGCTGGGTGTGAAGGAGAGTGTTCCTTTTGCTTGGTATTGTGATGTGCTCAACACAGACATGGCTCTGGGGTGTTTTTGAGGGAGGCCCTGCTCTTGTACGGTGTCAGGGTTGGATGCAGAAGAGGAGGGGGAGTGCTAGTTGATCCTCATTTTTGTGCAGCCAATGGCCTTCATGCCTCACTGCCCCACTAGAACCTCCCTTTCCATTGCCCTTCTAATCTACTGTCTGCAATAGTTTCTGTTCTAGCCCAACGTCACAGCTGATTACAACACTAAACGTATAGTTTAATTTGAAACAAATCTGTTTAATCTTTATTTACCCCTGAATATATTTCCCAGACCTAAAGGCTATGTCTAGACTACCCTCGGCTTCCAAAAGAAGATATGCAAATTTCCAAATCTTCTTCCAATCCCTTTTTTGGAAGAGGTTTTTTCGGAAGAAGAAAAAAAAAGCAGTCTAGACGGGAGTTTTCGCACAAAAGCCCACTTTTTCAAAAGAACCCTGTAAGCCTCATTTTTGGAGGAATAAGGATTCTTTCGAAAAAGGGAGGTTTTGCACAAAACTCCCCGTCTGCACTGCTTTTTTTTCCTTCAAAAAAACCTCTTCAGAAAAAGGGATCAGAAGAACATATACAAATGCATGCCTAATTTGCATATCTTCTTTCAGAAGCCACGGATAGTGTAGACGTGCCCAAAGAAAAGCTCTTATGTAGCTCAAAAGGTTGTCACTCTCACCAACAGAAGTTGGTCCCCTGAAACATATTACTTCACCCATCTTGTGTCTCTAATGTTTTATATGTCCGAGAAAGGACACTGACAAAAAGGCTACAGTTGTTTATGAAACACAACTCCTGTTAATCACAAGAAAACATGAAAAGATACATCTCAAAAAGGAGAATTTTAGCCACAGTCATTTATATTGGATCCCCTATTCTTACAGTTTTTGGAGAGCCTTCTGATCCACCAAACACTGTAAAATTGAATTAAAAGGTCATGCTTCTACACCTGCTGCTCAACCTAATGCTTCTGATTGCTAGGGTAAAAATGTCAAAAGCATGCTCTCAAATTACACATCAGATTTTGCCTGCCGAGTCTTTTTTGAACTCACCATTTTTCATATCCATTTTTTTCAGATTATGTGAAAAACTGAATTTAATTTTAGAAGTTGGACTGAAGCACCTTTGAAAACAGATCCTTATATAAACAACTGTTGACATATGATATGTTAATGCTTGTGGCCTAGGGAAGAAAAAAGTTACAATTGAACAACATTCAGTGCCCCTTGCCTTCTCTCTTCCATTTTCAAAATCCTAGAAACAAGAATAACTGTTTTAGAGACCACAAATATTAGATAATCTTGCAAATTTTATCAAAATGCCATAACTGTTACAATATCTGTACCAATCTAGTTCTAGCTG